ACATGGTGGAATGAACACTTGCTTGGTGGGAGGAGCACTTGGCCATGGTGGGAGGTGCACTAGGCATCTTGTTGCTTTCTTGGTGCAACACAATACACGGATTGGAAAACATCCGTTACAAACACGGATTATATCACGTTAATATTCACTATTAACAAATAAATTTGGTCCAAATAATTAATCAATCGATCGATCATTTGATCAAATCCGAATCCAAATCCCATTTCCCATTCACTCTCATTTTAAGACTATTTCATCTTAAACAAAAACTCAACAATCCAAAACTCAACAATCCAAAACTCAACACAGTGTTTACTATTCTATTTACATGCCTTTTGAGCGAGGATCCAAGTGGAGGTCAAGCTAAGTGTTGAAGTGTGTGATCATCTCATCTAAAAGCTTAAGCTATTAGAGAGAACACACTTTTATTTACTTAATTATGTCTTCAACTCGTCCCCTCATGTGCGGGCTTGATTCTTTTCGATGAGCCAAGCACGTGGAAATTCTTTTTGATATTTGGTGGCGATGAGACTCGAACCCAGGACCTTTGCCTGCTCTGATATCATGTTGAAGTGTGTGACCATCTCATCTAAAAGCTTAAGCTATTAGAGAATACACTTTTATTTACTTAATTATGTCTTCAACACTAAGCATTTCGTTTTCATGATTCCACATTTGGAATGGTTTCAATCAACATGGAAGTTAAATTCACTTGGAATATTAGCCCTAAACTGATCTAACTTTAACTAAAAAATAGTTAACTTACCTAAGACCCTCTTGACAGACAAGTAGCAGCTTGCTTTCAGGAGAAAATTGGCTTTTAACAGATTGCACAAACTCAGGATTGGGCTTGGTAAATGGCAATCCATAAAATAAACCAGAAAAATTGTTGTGCAGCTGTCTCTTGATTATAGTCCCTGCAGAAAATAAAAGGCACTAATCAAATTCTGAACAGAACACCAATGCAGCAGCCCCTAATTCCCCGGCACGCGTGGAGCTGGACATCTGAAGTGTGAATAACATAACATTGTATAAACGAATAATATGAATAGCTCCGACCCCAGTAACATGAAAATTAATATTGAGCAAAACTCAGTCTTAAGAGTTTGATCATGAGATGAGAATTGTTCAAGAACATATAAGGAGACAATAGTCTGCTCTCTCAATCAACGTGGGAGATTGTAACAAAAAAAACAACTAAGATAAAGGAGAAATGATATACCTAAGTCATTATCTGTGTTCTCAATAAAGAGTGGTACGTGATAACAGTTTTTGATATGAGCTCTCTCGAATTGAGTTTTGTCGCGCACATCTAGAACTGTATATCCCTCAACAGCTACAAGTTTCTTCGCCTCATCAGCATTCACAAACTCAACTTCTGCTTTAATTTCGAAAGCTCTCCTCCTAAGAGGTTTCCCTATCACGATCCCTCCTCGATACTTGACAACCAACAAAGATGATCCCAAGTTGCTGAAATACACATCACATCACTTAGTTGAGCTCCTAAAATTTTCACGCGAAAATGAAGAGGGTGCAAAATGACAGCTAGAATAACATCATATCATGCATTTTTGTACAAGGTAATACAAAAATATAAGGATCAAATTGATAGAGTCGCCACCTAAAATAACATGCAGTTTGACCAAGTGTTTCCTATAAAATCACATAAATATGCTCTTGCATTCAACTAATCAAGAAACAGTGACAAATGAACCATTAAGACTAATGTAGGCCTTTGGACATAAGAATTGTAATTTTTGAAAAAAAGTAGTATTTGGACTTAAGTTAAAAAATGGTACTATTTGAAATCTGAAATTACGTTTGTACATACATTTCACTTGAAAAAATGTTGCAGCTTTGTGAATGGAAATTTTTTTTTCTAGTTTTTGAAAAACTCATTTTCGAATTTTTTTTAAAAACTTATAAAATTTCATGAAGGAACACATTTTAAAAAAAAAAAAGAAAAGGAAATTTTTTTTTGGACAAACGGGCCCTAAGCTTACATAGTTTCAACTCATGTAAGCAAATAAAATCTTCTAAAGTTCCTCACTAGGATAGACTTCGTGCACCCAAACAAAAAACAAGAGGGAGTTATTGAAATATAAGGAAAACTGGAACTGTCTGAAATCAAATGCAAGAAACTAAATTATTCATTTTCCGTAGTTTGTTTTTAGGTACCTAAAAAAAGCTTTTCTTGGTAGGAAGGAGGAAGAGAAACATACCTCCGGGAAGAGAGTAATGAAGGAGAATAGCAACTAATCCCTGCCATCTCCACAGGGTTTCCAATGTGTTGTATAATAAATTTAATTTTTTTTCTCCTCTCACTTCGAGTTGATAGTTTCTTGGCTAGAAGCCAGGCGTGGGCCCAAGAAATTTAAGAGAGTGAATGGGTTTCTGCCACGTGGAAACAAGAAAATGAACTGGATTAGATTTCTCGTATACCGAATTTTTCCAGAAATTGCACGAACATGGTATAATAACAGGACCGTGGCTAATAAAAAGCACTTAAGTTAATAGGAACTTCTTTCATTTTGAGACACTTTTCTATAGATGATAATATTCCAATAATTTATATTTTGGGATTTTTTTATAGATACAAAATTAGGACAATATTTACCCCCTTTAACTAGGTTTTTTATTTAACAAAAAAAGTAGCTAGATTTTTTTTTTACAAAATCCGGTTAAAGCATACAATTTTTATACAATTTGTATATACCTTTATGTTGTAATCAAACACATACAACTTGTATACAATTATGTTAGTTGTATGTATTTTGTTTTCGTTTGTGCATCCCACATAAAAAATACATATGTCTTCCTCTTCTATTGCAAACAAATTTTCAACATATGTGAAAAACTATAATCACAAACATAAAAGATGAGTAATTTTATTGATGAATCTTTGTGGTTACAATTCTGCTAGTTCCCTTGATTTTTCTCTCCTGATTATCTCTATGATTCGAGGGCTGAAACAACGTATTTTTCGAATGTAGGATGATGCAAACCTCTTGGGGATGTATTTGATCTCCATCTTCTTGAACTATTTGATTGTCAATAAGTATTCGGCCATATTTTGATCTATTTGTGAATATCCCAAGAATTTATGGAATTTTCGAGATGTCTCTTCAAGAGAATATGTATCTCTTTATATAGGCGTGAGTTAGGGTTGAAATCCTCAATAGACTTTTGGGATATTTATTATTATTATTTGAGAAGAAGAAAGACTTTATCCATTATTAAGTACTAACAATACATAGTGGTGTTATCACATTGGGATGAACACACATGACAGTAGTAAAACAGGTAGAGTTAGTAGCAGATAAACTAAGATTACCAAGTTTGGCCAAATTATTACAAACAGAACTAGATATATGCCTAGTAGTAACAGCTCCATCCCTATCCTGATGCACGAATTCTTTGACTTGGTCTGGAAGCGTTAAAAGGACAACAGAATCCTGTCGTACCATAGGGTTTCCCAACATCCTCAATAGAAACTTGCAATCATTAATTAAATTATTAATAATAGGGATTTTTTTTCTAGTAAATGTATGATCTCAGCAGCAACAGTCTCAATCTCAATGGGTACTAGCTGCCTTTCTATTTCCATTTGTAGCCCCAACTTGAACGCTTGCAACTCCGTGTGAGTTGAGTTGTAACTAAGGATTTTCTTGTTGAACCCCATTATCCATTCTCCTTGTGCATTTTTGATAGTTTGCCAATTCATCCATTAGGATTATTATTCTGGCAAGCACCATCAATATTAAGTTCAAATTTATTTTATTTCTTTTTTTGGCTCGTTTGATAAGGACTGCAGTGTATTTCTGCCCTGGGAGAGGCAGTAAACTTATATTCCAGAGCTCTCTGCATCAAAACCAAGTTTATGAAAAATTATTATTCAGGTTATTGAAGGTGTCATTATTCCTATTCGTCTAGAGGTTCCAAATTGCAAAGGGGAGAAATTCTTTCCAAGATAGGTTAGGATGCTGGACCTGATAATTAATGTATTTTTTTATAATGATTAGCCAGTGGTTAGTAGAAGAGTTAAAAGATGAAGGATCGATGCCAACGTTATTCCAAAAGCTAAGTTAGAGGCTGCAAGTTAGGGCATTGCAGGAAAATATGTCTAATAGATCCCTCCTCCTGTTTGTAGATTTGGCAAGTAGCTTCTATGGCAATACCAATGTGGCTCAGGCATTGCCATGCTTAATCCACTAACTTGAATAAGTGGTTGGAATTGAGCTAGTGGTAAAATTATCAGTGGCATTTAGGGACCAATAGGGGTTGTCGCGATTGTTATGATGATTTGCACATTTGACCATATGGATTTGTTGGAGAGTGGTATTAAGAAGGACAAAGAATAAGTTAGATAAGTCCCCTTCACCATTTTTCCTGATATCCCTAACCTTGAGATATACAATATAGTATCATTTTGGTATACAAAGAATTTCAGTCTTCTTTGCTACTACTACTCAGTTTCCACCCAAAATTCAAAAATCCAGTCCAAAATCTCTACCAAATTGATTTAAAATTAGCCACAACCTCCGATCAACATTTCAAACACTTTAGTGAATCAAATCGAAATAACTATAAACTCAACAAACCCATTTATGAGTTGCAAGTTTCAAATTTCAAGGTCCTTCGATGATAGATCTGATTTTTCTTACAATAAATCTCCAACAAATCAACGTTAAACAGTAGAATCTACACAGCAAAGAATAATATCCATTGAATTCCAACAACAAAACACTTCAACTCGCACACAAAAATTCAAATCTAAACTTATGAACTCATATACATGGAGTTTCTAAAAAAAAAAATTCTTTTAGATTTAAAATTGTATCCACTGTTTTGAACGCATACACATGATATTTTGGATTGGAAAAGGAAAAGCGAGAGGAGGGAAATAGAAGAGATAATGAATTAGTTTGAAGAATTAGATATGGTAAAGGCATAAAAATTAAAATGTGTAATTACTTAGGATAAAATGTGTACAGATTGAAACAAAGTTTAGAACGGGTAAACACGGGTAAAAATTTTGAGCTAAGTAGGTATTTATTGTCGTTTCCTCTAATTTAAACAACGAGATGTGGTAGGCATTTATAATATCGAAACTACCCTCAACACCTGACATTATATTCCTAGAGCAATAACAATTCATCAAGCAAGAAAAAACATCTAAAGAGCAGAGTCAGACTTATTTTTCCACTGTTAAAACCTTGAAGTTTCATGTCTAATTTTGATCTTTGAAGTCTTATGCGTATCTAATTTGATTTTCTAACGGAGTTTTGGAAACTTATGTAAACGTTTGGTTGGAACAAAATGCACTAGAAAACAATGGATTGAATATGCCGAGCCAACCACCACAAATTTGATATTGAAGCGTAGTAAGTTTATTGATTGACCGTTGACGAGACACTTGGTAATAAACATTGTATTAACCGAAATGCTTATCCGCTCACTAGTTTAACTTTGAAGAAGAATCTTGTCAAAAAGGTAAATAGTTAACCACACCACAGTGTCTCAACAAATCTAGCAATTTAACCCTAGAAGCCAAAAAATTAAAGTGAAAATACATCACCTAATCATCCTTAAGTGCAAAATGCGCCTGCGAAAAACACTTGTCTTGCATCCATAAGTTTGGTGTGGTATAAACACCTATGTAGGTTAATTTTTTCCATGTTAAAATCATATATTTCAATCTTCTCTTTTCCAATGAACTGACTTGTTCATCTCATCCATTAATTTTTTCCATGTTAAAATCATATATTTCAATTCTCTCTTTTCCAATAAACTGAATTGTTCATCTCATCCAAATGCATATACAAACAATTGTTTCAACATAGATGATAAACAAAAGCAAAACAATGGATAGCAAGATCATTTTTTGTGACACTGATATCCGAGATAACTTGTGCGCACCTCGAGTATTTCACCTAACTCTCACCAACACAGGTATCGGATAACTCCACGGACTAAGGCTAGGCAGAGAAGAAACCACAATTAGCAAGATCACAAGAGATGGACTGGACAACAACTTCAATGCTATAGTTACCAAGTCAAAGTATGCATCCTGTATAAGCAAGTCCAAGCATATCACTGGCAGAAACCAAAAGTAAATGTTGTTGGGGGTTGGGCGCTTGGGGGGCAGGAGTAGACAAATCCAGGTTATCAGAAATGCATTTAGAATACAAAATTGATTCTTTTCAGGGTCAATGTGACCAGTTCTACAAAATACTGGCCTCTCTTCAGCATCTCTTATTTGTATACAGGAACCCAACAAGCCAAAGCAAGCAAATGCTAAAACAGAATGCTATATTTCAGAACCTAGTAAGTCAGGAAAAATGGAGAACCTAATGTTAAAAATACAAGCTACCATATTAGTACAGGAGAATGCATTCTGCTTTAATGAAATGCAGTACAAAAAGCCATTCTAACTTAAATCTGCACAACGGTACAAAAGTTTGAACTTGTTCATAGCTGCACAGGCAATAGCATTAAAACTCATCAGCTGCCTCAAGCACCAAAAGAAATGGCAAAAGAGGAACTTGCTGTGACGAAACCGAAATCTACAGGGAAAGTCGTGTTTCTGCTACTGTCTTTGCAAACTGCTGCATGACCTCTGTAGAACTCTATTCATTTTGAAGACAGTACAATTGCCGTATATTTCCTGAAGCTGACAAATTATGGGAGAATGGGTGAGAGAGAAGGAGCAAACTAGTTTCCATTACACACGAAAATTTAAACCATCACAATTACCATATAACCAGTCTTTAAAGCACTGATGGAGAGCTGTTGTTAATTCCTTTTTCCGGCTCTCTTCAAGATCAGCTTCCCGCAAGTTCTGCTTAATCTCCTCCAAGTTTTTTTGCTGAAACATTAAGTATGAATGACGATAAAGCAAAAGTTTGACAACTCAGATAAACCATTAGAACATGGAATGGACTGTACTACTGAAGGCATAAGAACAACAAATGGCAATGGGGTAAACAAATGTTATACAAAATAATTACAAAAAAGAAGTAAAAGTTTTTCAACTTACCCTTCTCTGCTGCGATGCCATGTAAGCATCAGGTAAAGGGAATGGATTGTTTTTTGTAGACCCAGATTGTTCACCTTCAAACCAGTTTGGAATCTGTGGACATGGAGATGTGTTCTTTTTAGCATGCAAATCATAATCATAAAGCAACAGATTTTCAGCAAACGTTCCTTTGACAGAATTCAGATTTCAGTTTCGGAAACTAACAAGGATACAGGACGATTGAAACTGGAAGCAATACTATGTAAATTGAAAAATAAAACTCAAATATGAACTCGTCATCCAGATTGTT